GGGCATCAGGTCTACCCATTAAAGTCAATGGGGCAAAATCAGACATCAGGTCTACCCATTAAAGTCAATGGGGCAAAAAGGGTATCAGGTCTACCCATTAAAGTCAATGGGGCGAATGGGACATCAGGTCTACCCGTTAAAGTCAATGGGGATCAACAGGACATCAGGTCTACCCATTAAAGTCAATGGGGCAAACTGGACATCAGGTCTACCCGTTAAAGGAAATGGGGAGAAAAATAGGATATCAGGTCTATCCATTAAAGTCTAGGACTAAGGGGTCATTAGGTCAACCCATTAAGATCAATGGGGATCAATAAGTCATCAGGTCTACCCATTAAAGTGAATGGGACAAAAAGGGTATCAGGTCTACCCATTAGAGTCAATGGGGCAAAGGGGACATCAGGTCTACCCATTAAAGTCAATGGGGCAAACTGGACATCAGGTCTACCCATTAACATCAATAGGTCCAGTGGTCTCAGTAGGTCGGACCGCACTGTTTTGGGGGGGTAACCAGGGTCTTTTTGGGGGGACCCAGGTGTCCAAGGGGTCCCCAGATGTACAGAGGGGAGGACCCAGAAGTTTTACGGGGCAGGGGGGAATCCCAAGTGTCCCGACTCACCGCGACAGGGCGGGAGAAGACGACGGCCAACGTGGCGTCCTCCCGGTTGACGTACACGCAGATGATCCTCGGCGGGGGCGTGGCTTTTGGGGGACACCCCGACATTCAGGGGGGGTCCTCAGGTACCCGGGTGAAGCACCCAGGTGTGAAGGGACCCCCCCTCCCCCCCCCCAAATTACCTCGGGAGAGGATGCAGCGCAGGTAGACCCAGGCACTCTGGTCGGTGGGGTCGGTGAAGACGGCGTTCTGCACCAGCTCCAGCTCTGGGAGGGGCAAAGAGGGGACCCCAATATCTCAGGGGGGCACCCGGGGGTCCTGGGGGGACACCCCCATATCTGAGGGGGGCACCCAGGCGTCTTGGGGAGGGTGTGTGGGAGCTCAGGTCTACCCAGTCAAGTCTATGGGGTTGGGGGGGACCCAAGGGTTTTGGGGGGGGACCCCAGGGGCTCTGGTGAACCCCCAGTGTGTCCCCACAATGTCTTGGGGGTCCCCAGTGATTTTGGGGGGAGTAGCAGGGGGGAACATCAAGATCACGGTCAACAGGTCTACCCATTAAAGGCAATGGGGAAAAAGAGACATCAGGTCTACCCATTGAAGTCAATGGGGGCAAACGAGTATCAGGTCTACCCATTAAAGGCAATGGGGGCAAACGAGTATCAGGTCTACCCATTAAAGTCAATGGGGGCAAACGAGTATCAGG